GCCTCATCTCCAGTTCTTGGGACTTGAGCCGTCAGCTTATCTGCCGAACTTGGGATTCGTCGATCTGCACAGCCTGTGAGCAGGAGCCCTGCTCTCTGACCTGCTGATCTTGGGCTTGCCAGCTTCTGTGGCTGTGTGACTTGGGAGAGGCCTCTACCCTGATCCACAGACTTGAGACGTTCTAGCCTCTACAATTGCGTGAGCTGTTTCCTTGATATAAATCTCTCTTTATATATATATTTATACACTTTACTGGTTTTCCTTCTCTAGAGAACCCAGCCTAAGACACCATCTCATAAGGTCTCCCCTAACTACCCTACTTCAAATTGTCATAGAGACGTATACCCTTGGCTGTGGTAGATTGTGTTTCCAAAGAAGGTCACAACAACATCTTCTATCCCACATCCTCTTTTGCAATGTGACTTTGCCATTAAGAAGTGAAATCTAGAGTTTATTTCCTCTCTCCCTGAATCTGTGCTGGCCTTATGACCTATTTAGACCAATGGAATGTGGAATAAAGGACACTGTGTACGTTTCTAGGCTGAGCCTGAAGAGATCTGTAACTTCTACTTTAACTTCTTGAAACCAAGCCACCACGTTGTGAGGAAGCCCAAGCAGCAACATGGAGAGGTCCATGAAGAGAAGTCCCTTCCCTGACAGTCCCAGCTGAGTTCCTAGCTGGCCACCAGTATCAAATCCCTACTGTGCGCGTGAGGCCATTTTGGACCTTCGGGCTGCTCCAGCTCCACATACAACTTAAAAGAATCACCTAGTCGAACTATAAAATTATGAGAAATAATAAATTGTTATTATTTTAAGCCACTAAGTTATGGGGTAGTTTGTAACATAGCAATATGCTACAAACAACAAAACTTGGGTTCTGTTACAATAACAACAATTGGGTACCTAAAAGTGGGGTACTGCTGTAACAAAAACTTAAAACATATGGCATTAATGTAGGAACCGAGTGTCAGGTAGAGGCATGAAGGGTGTTGAGAAGACTGTAATTGGAGACTGAAAAGGCAGTGAGAAAATTGTTACTGGAGATTTTAGAGAAGGAAACACACATCATACAGTGGCAGAAGTTTGGCAACACTGTCTCCTGTAATAATGTAGAAAATAGAAAATACAGCTGAAGGACTTGCAGATATGGCTAAGGAGATTTCCAGGAAGAATGCTGGAAGTACCAAAATAGACTTTTTTTTAGCTACCTAGGATAAAGTACAGGAAGGAAGAGATAACTAAAGAGGGAACTATTCTATTTTCAAGCAGAATTTAGAGGAAATATAGAGGGTCCAGAATAGTCTTTCCAGCCAGGAAGAGATTATCAAAATAAATTAAAATCTGGGGACAAAGATCAAGTCCAGGGATTTCCAGTCAAATGTGACTTTAGGGTCAAGATCAAATCAAAGATGTGGCTGTAAAACCTTTTGTTAAGACCGTGTACCCCCTGGACCAGACTAAAGGACTTCTAAGAATCTTAAAAATGCTGTCCCATAGCACCCTGATTTGAAGCCCAAAGTAGAAGTCAAAGATAATTGTAGGTGTGGATTTGTGTTTAACTTTTTCATTCCTATTGGGACAGAATGTGCCCACAAACATTTTTGGGTTCTCAGGTTTCTTGGGAGGATACTTTTGCCACTAAAAGTATTTGCTGCCCTCCAGTGGGGGCTTGGAGCCCTTGTGGCACAGTGGTTAAGTGTTTGGCTACTAATGAAAAGGTCGGCAGTTCGAATCCATCACTGCTCCTTGGAAACCCTATGGGGGCAGTTTACTCTGTCCTATAGGGTCCCTATGAGTCAGAATTGACTCGATGGCAATGGGTTTGGTTTTTGGGTTTTAGTCGGGGCTTGTGTAACAGTGAAAAATGAAAGAGATGTTCTTTGATGGAAATTCACTAAGGTAAGAGGCTTACGTATGAGGCAATCCATCTAGGAAGTGTGACTGGGTCAAACTTTTGTCTCTTTTGGCTTTTGTATGGGTAGATAATCCTTGTAAACATATTTATGGCTTCCTGTGGGATGGTTAGGGAGCCCTGGTGGGTTTGGTTTTTTTTGTGTGTGTGTGTGTCATATTTGGAAAACCAGAGGTATGCAATGTAACCAAATAGAAGGCGCAATTATTGTTGGGAAATTATAGTCCCACAAATCATTGTACCATATTTTGGCATGTTTATTGGGACATATGTGCCCCACAAAATATGTATCAAAATCCATATTTCATAACAAAATTTCAGAAATGCTCCTTGATTCAGTATGTCTTCCATCACCAACAAAAAATTCAAAGCAGAAAATCACAAGGTAATGAAAGAGTCTAAGAAGAGCAGTGATAGTTCAAAATGAAAAGAGACTCTGGCTCCTCAACTTTCTATGGGTGGGGAGCAGGCTGAGAAAGATATTCAGTGTCAAAGAGATTTATTTTCTTAAGAAATGTCTTATGGAAAAGAAAGGATGACTCAGGATAAATCCAAGAGCTTTGGGGAACCACTCCCTGAGAGAAGAAGTGGGCCCTAATCAAGGAACGTTCCCAGTCTGTGGGACAGAAAGACTTGGTGATACATGCCTGGCTGGATTTTAGATTACTACGGACATAGTGAGGAGCCCTGTTGGCACAATGGTTAAGCACTTGGCTGCTAATCAAAAGGTTGGCATTGAAACCCAACAGTTGCTCTGTGGGAGAAAGTTGTGACAGTCTGCTTCCTAAAGATTACAGCCTTGGAAAACCTATGGGACAGTTCTACTCTGTCCTTAGGGACACTGTGAGTCGGAACAGACTTGATGGCACCTAACAACAACAACATAGTAAAAGCAGGAATGATATAATGAAAGGAGCTTGATGAGGCCACTCTAGCGGCTCTGAGCGCGCGCTGCCTCTTTAACAGCTCACTGCAAAACAAACGCTGAACACCACTTCCGCTTTTCACCTTTTTTCGTAAAAGCGAAAATCCTCTTAGGATTTCTTTTGGTTAGTGAGGACAGTTAATAATGTAGGTCTTTCCGAAAAGCAAAGTGGCGGTAAAGCGAACTTTTGAAAAGCGGGGGATACCTGTACACAATTTCTGCGTGTTTACAGCAGAAGATGCTGCGATTGCTCAGTCCTCCATGCTGATCGATTTGGAAGTCTGAGCCTTTTATCTCTAACTTTTACTCTAAAATATCTCTTAAAGGCCAGAGTTATTAAAACAATGTTGTTAATTGCTGTCAAGTCGGTGCCTACGCATGGCGACCCCTCGTTCAACAGAATGAAACATTGCGTGGTCCTGCACCATTTTCACGATCGTTGGTATGCTCAAGTCCATTGTTGTGGCCACTGTGTATTTTCAGTGCCTTCCAAACTAAGGGGCCCATCGTCCAATACTATCTATATAGGACAATATTCTGTTGTGATCCATACGGTTTTTACTGGCTAATATTAGGAAGTAGATCACCAGGCCTTTCTTCCTAGTCTTTGTCTGGAAGCTCTGCTGAAACCTGTCTACCATGGGTGAGCCTGCTGATATTTGAAATACTGGTGGCATAGCCTCCAGCATCATAGCATCAAGCAAGCCACCAAAGTATGAAAAACTGACAGACGACTGGTGGATTAAAACAATAATAATAGCTAAAACCAACCAAAATATCAGCCAGTCCTATGTTTCTGGGAGATACAATTCAAATTTTGTTTTCATGAGGCTTTCAGTTAATCCTCTAGTCTTTCACCCTCGGAAATGATAATAGCAGGGTACACATTTATAAACCTAATGGTCATTAGTAATTTCAATAATAAAAGGATTCTATGGAAGTGGACTTGGTTATAATACCTATATAACAGCCCACCCTCCCCTCCAACCCCTTTGCAAACTACATTCTAAGCTATAATGTCAGCCTCATTTTTTCGTTTCAAAGTGACAGGAAAATAAAAAAAGACTTTAAGACCTAATCAGGTACTGTACCATGTTCTGAGTGGTGAAAAAAAAAACAAATTACTTCAGTGGGTTTGTCAGTTTTATTGTTAGCATAGTCAAGTGGTCCTACAGAAAAGAGACAGGAGAGCTAAGAAAAAATAGTAGAATTCTAAGCTGCTTTTTAAAGGATCTTGGTCAGAAGTACAGCAATTCAGATACCTCTGTTTGAAAGCAGCAGGACAGATTTGTTAGAAGACAAAAGCTCCAATTAGTATTTTCCACACCCTTTCACAATTTTCTCTACTGCTTTTGGCTCTGACACCCTTTATGCCAGGGCCTTTGTACTGGCAAAGAGGTGGGTGGAAGGGCATGGAGGCAGGGCAGGGGGAGGGAGGAAGGGAGGCTTGAAAAGATGGCACACGGGGCCCTTAGGATGCCACGAAGTCTGCCCTCAGAAGTCAAGTAGCTCCGGAGGGAAGGGAAGCTGAAGACAAGACAACGTTCAGGACCCGCAGGGAGGCCAGCAGGAGGGCACCTACCTGAGTTGACTGAGATTCGGGCTTGGCGAATAACCACCTGTGGTGCAACTGGTGTTCCTGGCTGCAACTTGTGGAGGCCTTTGGCGACCTGTAGGAGTTTGCTGGAGACATCGAGCCCATACAGGAACCGGTCCATTAGGAACACAATAGCTGCAGCAGTAGCACAGTCCTGAGCTTGGATGGATTCTTTCAAGGACGCCTGAAGGAACATCCAAAGAACATCACTAACCAGACAGAAATAGAGCCCGGAAGGAAAAGAAGGCAGTCTGAGGACAAAGCTTCAGCTTTTAGGTATTTTTGTTAAAAACAACAACAACGAAAAACCTATAGAAAGGAGAAGAAATATACTTTATTAGGTTACTGAACCAAAAGAAAAAAAAAATAGTCTGATTTAATTGTGGGATAAAATAATATTTCACTTATTCCATTTTTCCCAGTACAGATCTAAAATTATTTAAATGATAGATGCATATTTCCTGTTGTTAAAAATTCAAACAATTCAAAAGCTTACAGAGTAAAAATTAAGAGCGCCCCTTCGTTTCTCACTCCTTAACCTTCTTCTCCCCCAATTTCATTCCTACTCTCCCCTGATAATAGTTTGGAGAGATTCTTTCAGAACTTCTATGCTTTAGAGTATACTTAGACATTAACTGATTCCTTGCCCTGCCTTCCCCTTCCCTTCCTCCTTCCCTCCCTCTTTCTCTCTCTCTTTCTTCTCTTCTTTCTTTCTTACATAAATGAGATCACACTAGACATACTGTTCTGTTGCTTGTTTCCTTCAGTTATCATTCCTCTGGGTGAGATTTCCACATCAGTTCATCAAAGACATTCTGCTTCCTTTATTGCCTACATTTTAATTAAGGGGAAATACAGACTTTTAGGTAACATTTTAAATTTAATTTGTACTATTATGTTTAGTTAATAAATAAAAGAAGAAACCAGGCATGAAATGAGAGTGTAACATAAAAAGTGAGAAGAAGAGATAAAGCAAACTTGTATGGAAAAACATTACCTTTTGGTCATTTAAAGTATATACTAAAGACATTTCAAGTTATGCAGCTAGTAGCATAAATGAGTTCTCCTTTTTCTAAACTAAATCAAGCTGAGTGTTTTCTGGGCATGTTAGCTCAAATATGAAGTCTAGAAAGCACTGTAAGCACTGCCCATTTTCTTACCACAGGCTACTACCCAAAGCACTGCTTTCTTCCCCTCATATTCTTATGTACTAGCACCTATTGGGCAAAACTGTGTGTCAGGCACAGTGCTATGTATGTTGCATTTATTAACTCATTTAATTCTCACAACAGTCCTAAGAGGCAGGTTTTATTATTATCCTCATTTTACAGATGGGAATCTTGAGACACAGAGAGGTTAAGTAACTTGTCCAAGGTTACATGATCTGTAACTGAAAGCTGGAGTTGTAACACAGGAGGTCTAGGTCCAGATCCCACGTGCTTTATCCTCATGCTGTTATTATTAGCTGCCATGGGATCACCCAGACTCATGGCGGGCCCATGCACAAAAGAACAAAACGTTGCTCAGTCCTGTGCCATCTCCATGATAGGTTGTGGACTGGACAATTGTGATCCATAGGATTTTCATTGACTGATTTTCTCAAGTAGATCACCAGGCCTTTCTTCCTAGTCTGTCTTAGTCTATAAGTTCTGCTGAAATCTGTTCAGCATCAGAGCAACATGCAAACCTCCACTGAAAGATGGGCGGTGGCTGTGCATGAGGTGCGTTGGTCAGGAATTGCACCCAGGCCTCCCACAAGGAAGGCAAGAATTCTACCACTGAACTGCTCCCCACTCTCCTCCATGATATACCACTTTTATATTAATAAAGCTGGAGAATGTATACATCATTGATCTGATGCTCATAATTTTGTTACTAAATACCATGATATGCAATAAATGCTGTTGCAGTTACCAGTCTAAGCATAGTTTAATTTAACAGACTAAAAGAGGAGGATGCATTCACATTGGGAGGATAATTCTGCTTTTCAAAGCCCAACCCTGAAACAGGTCTTTTAGAGTTTCAATTTGAGACTTGCAGATGTCTAAGTAAAACTGGCCTAAACCTTTACATGTAGCCCATTCTGAGGATCTGTAGTACTACTCACTCAGCTGAGATCTGATTTCTGGTTTATATATTTTTCTTTTAGGTGTGATGATCTATGGCAATGCCTATGAAACACAGCATTTATATTCACACGAGTTCATCAACCAGGTAATGACTATCAATAACTAGCATAATAACACCTCTTTTTTCAAACTGATGCTTTCTTAACTCATTAAGGCTTTTAACTATCAAAATGTGTTTATTAAGCTGGGAAAATGACAATTTGCACTCATGTTTATCCTTTAATTCTAATTAGTCATTATTCTCATTGCAAAAGAGATGCCAATTGTTAGCAAGAATACACCCACTCCTCACTTATCGACATGGTTAGGTTCTAAAGACTAGGTCATTATGTAAAAATTGGCATTATGCAGAAATAGGAGACAGCCACATCAGATCACAAAATGGAGGATGACTACATCATTATACAACAAATTACAGCATTACATAATTGCCAAATTACATCATTATATAACTGTCAAATTACATCATTACATAACTGACAGATTATATCATTACATAACTACCAAACCACTGAGAATCATGGCCCAGTAAAGTTGACACAACCTTAACCATCAGAACCAGTGTTACTTTCGCCTCATCCCTCAGCCTTTGTTACTGCCAGACGTACGTCGCTGATGAGCAAAATATTTGGATACTATATTTTTTACTATTGTCTTAAATGTGAAATGTCAGATAATGATATAGTCGATAAGTGAGGAGTAGATGTACCTCATATTTCCTCTTGATGTTTCCGTCCATATGAAAGGAGCTCAATTTACTGTAGCACTCCTGGCCTCTGTCTACACTGTAGCTCACTTTGCCCCAGAGAAGGTGAAGTGACTAATCTGATTGGTAAATTTAGGAAGAATAAACCGGGCATGCATACAGTGGTGTCACTAGGGTTGGTGTCATCCAGTGCAGTAACTCATGGTATCACCCCTCCAAAGATCTCCTCCCATACCAGACCATACAGAATCCTTAGTAGTGTTTTTTGTACTAATATTGCTCGTAAATAGTAATTCCCATATATTACTCCTTCTTATCCTTAAATTACTACTTCATTCTCAAAAAAAGTTATTGATATAGGTACATAAATACTAATTACCACAATACTGTAGCTAAAACACCAGAAACTTTCTAGATAAGACTTATGAAATGGAAGAGCAGAGAAAAATCTGCTTCCTGTAGACAGCTTGTTCCCAAGAGAAAGGAGGAGAAGTTAAGCTGTACATGCAGTGGCATCACTAGTGGTATGTGGAGGTGTGTGGACCGCATCCGGTGACAATGTCAGAGGAGATGACACCAAAATGACTGTCTATAAAAATACCCCTATAATTAGGTATAACAACAAAAACATTTTTTGTAAGCCCAGCTTAAAAAAAACCCGTTGCCATCGAGTCAATTCCGACTCATAGTGACCCTATAGGACAGAGTAGAACTGCTACATAGGGTTTCCAAGGAGTGCCTAGTAGATTCGAACTGCATGTACAGCTTAACTTCTCCTCCTTTCTCTTGGGAACAAGCTGTCTACAGGAAGCAGATTTTTCTCTGCTCTTCCATTTCATAAGTCTTATCTAGAAAGTCACCCTGTATGGGGTGTTCTGCTTGGCCCAATATTTCCTGTGACTGAGTAGGGAAATCTAAGTAATTCTGGGGTTTAGTCAGCAGACCCCTTATGCTCTAACACTGAGCGTTATCTTCCAACTTAGCCTTTACCAGTATTAAAGGTAACATTTGATCTCTTATCTGCCTAACTCTTTTGTTTTATTTCTCAATTTGCTCAGAATCCAGGACAAAAGTGTGGTGCTATTGGAAACTACCCCCACCCCCAAAACATTAATCATTGTCTGACACTCCATAACCATTTCTAAGGAAAACTGCTCTGCCCACAGCTCCTGACTTGTAAGCAGTCATATTTTTTGCTATTTGACTTTATATAACTCCTCCCTCCCTGTGGCCCACCAGATCAAAGCTAACCTAAAAGTAGAGACCTGATAGCTGGTCCCATGATTCTGTGGCCTAGCTTGAAAAAACAAACTGATCATACTAGACCCAAAACAGAAAGAATCTTCCAAATGTTGCAGAATACAAAGAAGCAGAAAGTAGAGTGCAGCTAAGCCACATTATCGGGCAGTACTGGAGTGTAGACCCAAGAACAAGGACAGCTGTGAATCCAGATCCACCTCTTCATGAGTGCTCTTCTTGGAGTTATATGTCTCTTTATTGTCCTATTGTATCTTCATAACAATGTACATCACCTTTTATGAGTTTTCCTGAGGGACTCTCTGTTTCTTACAACCAAATAAAGCCTAACTAAAACTGAAATGCTCAAAATTTCTATTGAAGTTTGTCAAGTAAATCATTAAGTTGAAAAATATAAGTTCCAAAATGAGAAAATTCAGTCGTTTAACATTCATAAAATATAAAGCCAAAGATGGAAAACAAAATTGATGATTTTATGTATGCCCAGCTTTGTCTGATAAGGCCAGCCTCTGAGCAAGACTCTTTCTTGAGTCAGGTACACACAACCTCAGTTTGCAACCTCAGCTGCTCACTGCAGAATTTGCAGCAACCCTCGATGTTAATGGCTGCTGACTGATCGGGGTGGTGGCTGTGGCAATTTCTTAAAAATAAGACAACAATGAAGTCTGCCACATTGATTGACTCATCCTTTCATAAAAGATTTCTCTGTAGCATGTGATGCTATTTGATAGCATTTTACCCACAGTAGAACTTTTCAAAATTGGAGTCAGTCCTCTCAAATCCTACAGCTGCTTTATCAACTAAATTTATGTAAATTCTAAAGCCTTTGTTGTCATTTCAACAATGTTCACAGCACCTTCACCAGCAGTAGATTCTATCTCAAGAAACCACTTTCTTTGCTTATCCATGAGAAGAAACTCCTCATCTGTTAAAATTTTATCATGAGATTGCAGCAACTCAGTCACATTTTCAGACTCCACTTCTAATTCTAGTTCTCTTGCTTATTTCCACCACACCTGCAGTTACTTCCTCCACTGAAGTCTTGAACCCCTTGAAGTCATCCATGAGAGTCAGAATCAGCTTCTTCCAAAT